GTGGGGTGGGGAATGGGCTGGGCCAGGGTGGTAAACCAGTATTTTCAGCTTTATGAAGGTGTGTGCAATATTGTATGTGTGGAGCCATGTGGCTCTTCACGGCCACAAATGCTAGTCAGGGATCTTAGAGCCACAGGAGTTCCTTAGAGTTCGCCAGTCTCCACGGGTCTTGTGTGAGAATGGATAGAGTGTGCCATTGAGGAAGAAGACATTCTTGCCAGTTTCTCCCCTTACATTTCAGCCGTAGTGCAATCCCTGTTGAACTTGGGAAAGCCAGGACGTGTTCTGGCACTGCAAGGGAAAGAAAAAACCATGTTGACCGATGCCCTTACCACAGATTTTTTTCTGCCTAGACTAAATGTGGGGTTTATTGTAATCCAGGAGTATCCCTTTGAAGGGTTAGCAGATGAACTAACTGTATGTCTTAAATTGTTTTCTAAACTTCCATATTTGATAGGATTTGTAACATTTATTTATAATTAATTAATATTGTACTGTTATAACCATACCTTTTATGTTAAATGTAAAGTTATTTTGAGCTGTTTGGAACATTGTGAAGCAGTGGGACAGCTACAGTAGTTTCTATAAAAACTGAACAGTAACATTTATATATTGCATCAGGAGTATTTTATTCTATATATAAATATATATATGATAAATATGTGTCTGTTTTATAAATATAATCATTTAAAGAAAGTATCGTTACGACACTCTGCCATATTTTTATACATTTGTAATATGAAGTGAGTATTCTACTTCTAATCAAGGGAGTTGAATTGTGGCTATATATGTGACTGTAACAGTAAGAACCTTGCTCAACTTTTAGGCCCCAGCAGTAGCCTCTAGACATGCTCCTTGGTAGCAAACAGGATGCTGCATCTCCTTGCAAACCCACAGGGGAAGAAAGTGGGCTAGGCCAGTGAGGACTACGGCAGGCCTCGTCTCAATCCTCACGCAGTTGGCTCCTGTTCATGTCCAGGGACATTCCTTGCACCTGAGGGAGAACAGATCCAGGCTTGCTCATGGGTCTTTATAGAGAGAATGTGCTCTTCTACTTAGCATTAGTGTAGAGCGTTGACCAAAGATTTGCCAGTGAATATTCCTGGTTGTAAGTTTGTAAGAGGCCCGCCTGCAGACCTGGCATACCAGCTCTATGCTCCTAAAACCTGAATCCTGAATCCTGTATCCTGTACACTGTACCAGAGACTCTTGGGGGGAGGGTAGAAACATGTGTGGCATTTCTATTTCTAAAGACTTCTTTTGTTATTGCTGTTTCCAAGATATTTAAAAGGCTCCTGAAGCAATTCTAGATGTAGAGAAAATTGCTATACTCAATTTTTCTTCCCGGGACTGTCTACATATAACAAAGTTATGTGCATGCGCGGGTGCGCACACACACACACATACATGCATGCATACATACATACACATACACATACACATACACACGGCCAGAACAGGACTTATCTTTCTCTTACTTGATCTCCTCCAACTCCCAAGTTCCTCCCAAGTGTCATCGAGGTCTTTGGCCAACAAAGGTTATAGCCCCATGTCCCTGGGCCGCCCTTGATGGAGATCATTCAACACCATTTTCCATCAAGAGCATTAGACTTTTGGAAGTAGTCTCTTAGCAATAATATTTTTAAGGGTTCCCTCCCACCCCTTAAAGAGGTAATGTCTCGGTATTTATTACTTGTCCCAGGATTCTGAGAGCGTCAGCCCCTGAATCAAGTCAGCTGTAACTGAAATGTGCTGTTACTGTTTCCCCTCCCCCACGATTTTGAGAATCATAGTTCTGATGATTATGAAGATTATAAAGAAAAAGTGTTAGTTTCTTTGAAGCTTAAAATGTGTGCATATTGCATTTTTATATAACTACTATAATGATGTGTATTGATTATATATAGAGGTCATTTTAAGGTGCTTTTTATTTAATTTAATAAGTGTAATAGGCACTAAAATGAAACTCAACTGGGTACTATCATTGAAACAATTTCATTCAAACCAATAGCTTGCATGCTCTTTGGTTCTTTTTATATCTTGTTTCTTTCACCAGTTCAGTACTGTTCGAGTAGCTCTGAATTCTGGCTTTTCCCAGGCAGCTGCTCAGTTATATAAATGATGTGGACCCTTAGCAGTTTTTGCCTGGATACTAATGACTCTAAAAGGGTGTATAACTCTTCTTTTTCATACTAGAGCTGTACCTTATATTCCCCCTTGCAAACAAGAAACTACATTTTTTCCTCTGGAAAGACTTCTCACTGTGCTGTGCGCTTGGGAACTGCGCAGTCACATTGCCACGCTGTGGCACTTGAGGCTCGTCGTCACCTAGCGGCTGGTTTCCCATGTTTTCATCCTTGCTAACACTGGGATCTCAGATGTTTGCAGATCATTTCTATTCCTGATGGTTCTTCAAAGAAGGGCTAGAATAATTGCCTTCTACCTAGAGCAAAGTAAACCTAACTGATGAAGAGTCAATACATACTTTTCGTACATTCCCAGATTTGAGCCAGAAAATATCTACAGTGTTTTCCACTCGTGTTTTTGAGGTAGCTCTTATCCTCTTCTCAGCTTTTGTCCATTCTGACTTTTCATTGGCCTCAGTGAGCTGTAAAGTGAACTACAATTGGCATTTCTAGCATGTATAATGCTTTTCCTACTCGCACAGGGGAATTGTCAAATTTCCTCTCAAATCTAATGGGTCCTCTCTTAGCTTCTAACTGTTATTTTCCTCTGTGATGAATTATCGACCTCACAGAGATGCCATCCATGATAAGAACTTGATTTAAAGTCACAAAAGCTGGCATTTTCTTTAGGAAGGGAAATTTTTATGACATCTGTGTCCTGTTACCTGCCCTAACTTCCTAAAGAATAAAAAGGTTGAGTGAAGGCCTATCAATTACTTTGTCTTATCAAAGTATCACTGATCTCCTTTTGAAAAGAAACTCTGCTTTGCTGTTTTTCTACTTTTGCTTTGCCACCATCCTCGTTTTTCTTCTCAGAAGTTCTAAATGAACTTTCACTGAACCTTGTTTGGTCTCAATCTGAGGTTTAGCCTCTCTCGAGAGCCCCAGACCAAAAGTAGTCCATACTAAGGGGCTCAAGAGAGCTGTCTCTACAGCAGGGGTTCTCAGCCAGGGCTGGTTTTGCCTCCCGGCAACATTTGGCTATGTCAGGAGACATATTTGGTTGTTACAACTGGGTGTGGTGGGGTGCTACTGGTATGTAGTTAGTAGTGGCCAGGGATGCTGCTACACATCCTACATGCACAGGATACCCCCACAAACAAAAAATGATCTGGCCCCAAATGTCAGTAGTGTTGAGGTTGAGAACCCTGCTCTACCGTATTCCATCTGTCTGCAGAGCTCAGTTCTGGCCTTGTCTCTCCAAGCTAGGAAAATGCAGGTATGAATTCTTCAGCATCCCATTCTCTTAAAGAATCTTCTACCACTATTTCTAACCCCTAGATTCCTATTGTTCATTTCCATTGTCTTGGGCCTGCTGAAAGGTGCATTCTTTGGGAGGAGACCAGTTACTTTATAGGTGTTTAAAAACTTAAATTCTAGGTCAGCATCCTTAGAAAATCTTTCATAGAGCCATGATGCTTATATTAGAAGTGAGCAGCAGCCTGGCAGATTGGCATGATTTTTACCAAGTGCTCAAAGGCATCCATGGCTTTTAGCTGTGTCTCCCAAAAGAAAGTGTCTTTGTTTTTAATTTAGGTCATTTAATAGCTCTTTACAAATATCGACATATGACAGACTGATTAGAAGCAAAAAATTCTGTATTGGTGGTTGTGATGTGGCTCTTAGAGGAGTATTTGTGCTGTATGCTTTGATCAAATCCGTTTTCAAACCTGCTTTAAGACTCACCATATGCAGTTGTACTTTCACTCTAAGCTCAGAGCTACGCTGGTTAGTTTCTAGTCACGTCATGTATTATAAAGTATGTTGTGGTTGTAGAGTTAGCCAGTTTAGCATGTTCCTATTCTGAAAATTAGTGGACTTCTCTAGGAAATGCTATCCCATTTTCCCGTCCGAGCTCCTCTTAGTTAACATCATAGTATCCTCACTTCTTAAACTAGTTTTTAGAGTAAATAAGGAAAAAAGCCATTTATTTTCTTCTAGTTATGTATTGAGAATGACTCATAAGTGTACAGCTTTTTTTAAAGGCCAGAGGATTACTTTTCAAGTGTGTAGAAGGCGCTGTTTATTTCTGTTCACCTAGGTCCTGGTGGTGACCAACTTTCAGCAAGGGCAATCACTCATTAAGACTTATTCCTAGAGCTCAGCTGGGACTCAGAAATCTGCATATT